GGAGCCATGGTTGTCAGCTAAGCTGGTCTTAAAACATTCTTGCTTTCCTCTCCATTACATAGGGGGTGGAAGATTAAAAGTTTATAGAAGGAAGATAACATTGTTTTATATGTACAGTTCAGTTCACAGGTAGTGACAAGGACATTTCTGGCAAAGGACAGGTAGTGACAAGGACATTTCTGGCAAAATCAGAAGGTATATCTTGTACTTGCCAAAAATTTTATTGGTCTAAAAAATAAAATGAATGCAGCCACCACATATTAGGACTGGTAAGCTGCTATATATTCAATTTTTGCTTGTGGGTTTATCTATCCTTTATTGTAAACATGTAGATAGTGGGACAGGTAGGTGGTTGTTGCTGACCTCTTTCTGAAAATGCTAGGTGCTTGACCTTCTCAGACGCTTGAATAAGTGGGCAGATTAGAAATGCCAAAGTGAAGTCAGAACTGCAGAAATACATACAGCATTTCTTCCTAGCCAGTGACTCTGAAAATTTTGAAGCTTTGGATCATTAAGACAACCATGCAACTACCATTTTCAGGAGAGGTCAGCAATAAGAGTGTTCTTTACAAATAAACTATATGAAAATGCAACTGAAGCCATTTTATTTAGTTTTGAATGGAATTGAGAGGGATTAGAACATCTGTCAGGTTTTATTGCTGTGTTCCCCTTAGGGAGAATCACCCTCTCTACCTGTCATGGTGATTATTAGCACTGAGAGTGAAAGAAGATTCCAAATTTTGGACAGAGATGGATGGGAAATATTCCAATAGGGACATTAGGTATGTTGACCCTGCTGACCACCAGGTATTACCCTCCCCTTTGAGGGATTTCCTCTCACTTCCTGCTGTGGCTATTGGACAGGAAGTTAAAAGAAATCTCCCCATTGGGACACAAAAATCCAAAACTAAAAAGAAAGTTTTGGCTTCAGTTCTACTTTAACAGCGGTGCACAACTAGTCTACTCAGCATTCCTTAATTTGTATTCAAAATTAAGCTTGGAGGAGTATTGGATTGCATGGGAGCCCTCTAAATTCAATTTACTTGCCTACTACTGATATTAGTGTGTTATGCTGGTTGTGCCTAGGTAAATACCTGCCTGTACCGGGCCGGCAAGTAGTATGCAATAACAGGCATTGGTACAACAGGCATTGGTACAACAATGATGTTTCAGGAAATTACTTTATTGAAGCCAGTCCAAAATGGAGTGTTATCGGTTGCTGGAAGCACAGCACTTGACACTTTGATGTATTTTGCACCAAAAGGAGCTTAATCAGAAGGATAGATTCATACACCTTTTGGTGTAAAACGTGAGACTACTTTTTGCATACTTTACAGGCCAGACTAGGTTGAGGTTCTGGAGAACTGTGGCAGGTAGATAGTTTTCCTTGCAGCACCAGTGTCTTTTCTTTCAATGCAAGCAAAAATGGAGGTTGTAGGCTATTTCCAGGATCTGTTCACACAAGTGAACTGGTAATATGAATGTATAGGAACTGCAATACTGCAAGTAGATCACATAGCACCATTCATAACAGCAAGAACATTGGCGTTAGTCAGAAACAAAATGGCTTTTCTAAAACATTGACAATGTTTTACTTTTGGCCCTGTGAAAAGCTTATTCCAGGAGCAACCTCATGCTTCAGGAAGGCTTTTTCCATCTTCTTAGGTTATCTTTATTCAAAAGTATGTTAGAGCTGTTATATAGAAGTGTTTTCAGTATATCAATATTCAGTTTTGCTGAGCTTGACTGTAAGTTGAAAAGAGCTCAATTATTATTAATTGTGCAGTTCATAAACTCTACAGTGAACATGTCCTATCTAATTCCATTCCAATTTCTATTCATTACATACTCTCAATACTTCTGGCACCGCTTTTAACATATGGTTTGGTGAGCCCTTTACGCATCTCTGATTGAGTTCCATTTGCCTTGTATTGAATAGAACTCTGGGAATTGAAGCCAAACTCCAGAAAAAAAACTGTATGTTATATGTGTAGGGCTGCTGCAAAGTATACAAATATTACTTTGTAGCATTCCGCCTCCGGCAAACAATGCTGGTCTTCTGGGCACTGCTTGGAGTTAAGGGATGCGACTCGAGCAGTTAAGTGCTCCAAAATTTGGTTCCAAGGATCACTGCGCTAGGAATGGATTCTAAATAGCTTATAGGACCAGCAGCAACTCTGTATGAAAATGGTATCTAATATGGTAAGTTTTTAAAATTACTTAACATATTAGTTAAGTGGTCCAGTTGCATCCCCACCCCTTCTCGCTACTGGCCAATTTACAAAATGCCTTATATATTTTTAAAAAATAATACAAGGCTATCTGTAATTAGAGCAGGAGAGGAGGGAACAGGCATGTGACATAATTTCTACTCCTCCAAATTCATGTTGTAAGTGGGCAAGGAGAAATAAGGGGCAGCTATGCTTCTCCTCAGAATCCAGAAGCTAGGCATTATGTGTAGGTGCCAGCATGCTGCCAGGTAAGATTTCTATACTTTGCAGTAGCCCACTACGCGTAACATGCAGCTTTTTCATGATCATTTACACACCCAGTGCAATCATTTTTTCCTGGAGCCCGGCTTTAACTACTCTCTGTGCTGGACCAGTTCCTCTGTCCCCCCACTCACCTCCCTACATAACCTTTCATGTGGCTGCTGGGGGAGGAGCAATTGGGAATACTACAGAGCAGGGGTGGGCAATTAATTTTCTCACTGGGCCACTTGAGAAACTGGGACTGCTGTGGTGGGCCGAACCATTTGAAAGGCACCCCAAACACACCTACCAGCTGCAATATAATCGACCGCGCTGCAAGGCTCTGTACTGCAATACCATGCATTTCAGTGCAGTTGAAAAAAGTAGTGCATGCAATGCACATGCCACACTGTAAAGCATGTTAAATGCATTGTGCGGTACCATGCATCAATTCCACGGAACCGCATGATTAACGCACATCTTTATTTTCCCCACATAGTATGTGGCACATACCTTCTTTTCTTTTTTCTCCATAGGCCAGAGGCAGGAGCCGGGAGGTGGAGCTGCAGGAGAGGATGGAAGAAGATACTCTTCTGTCCTCCTGTAATGCTGGGGGTTGAAACACACTTGATGTCACTGGTTGTTAGGACGCCAGCAGTCCTAGCAACCAATGACTGAAAAGGACACAGACTGATTGTTGGCCTATGGTTTGCAGTGGATGCACCGGCATAGGAGGGGCCGGACCGGGATAGACAAAGGGCTGGATGTGGCCTGTGGGCCATAAAATGCCCATATCTGCTATAGAGTATTACTTGAGTGACAGCTCTGAGTCTGCTGGGCCTGCTGACATCACATCCAAGATGGCAGCGCCCAGCACAAATCTCAAGGCTTTTGAATGTCTACACAAGGAAGGCTTTTACAGGTAAACAACATGCAAAAAATACACTAAATGCAGATATAATCCTAGAGGAAGATTGTTGTTGAAATAAAGAATCTGCAATAGGGATAATTGATTGCTATAATGATTTCCAAGGCTGCTCACATGTCCTTTTGGGGTCATGTATAGTGGTGGAGTATGTTTTATATGCTTTGCTTTATGGTGTTTCTAATAATATCCCTACATTATTCTTAGTAACCAGACTACACAGCATTCCTAATAACTTTGGATCTAATGTTGCTCAGATTGTGGAGATTGGCAGGGATTCTATTCTTTCTCTGTAAATATACCCATGTGCAACTAACCCCATGCAGTTATCCCTATTTCAAATGTGGCCATATTCAATAGACAATGAGAGTAGCAAAGTGAGGAAACTCACGGCAACCACTCAACATGCGCTTGACAGGTTCTGATTGGTTGGAAAAAAAAAATATTGCTGACACAGGCCAAAAATAATGTTGTTTCGATGTAGCTTTACTAAACAATAATCCAGTATCTGAATTACTATATTCAGATATATCCAGTTTTTGTATTTTGAACCAAAATACATGTAGAGGCATACACTGTTAACATAAAAATAAATGTAATGCCTCTGATTAATAGTTTCACCATCCATATATTGTAATAAAGACTTTGGAACTATTAATAACCCATTGAAATTGTCCTGCCAACCAATCATAAACCATATTTCAATTTATGGAAAAAAGTTTCCTCTTTAATCATATGAATTTATTAATCTTGGTGAGTCTACTCCTTGGCAGAGTTGGATACAATATAAATGGGAATAAGTGGTGGTTTCTTTTCTGACCGTACTATATGGTATACGGTAAACCATGACAGCCAATCAGAAACAATCTTTCAGTAGGTTACTGTGAGCATACTAAAGCTGATTTATGGTTGATACATCACCGCTTTTAACATTGTTATTAGATAAATCAAATAGTCAAACAAAAGTACAAAAAACAAATATTGTATAAAATGTATGTACAACATATCATCTATGACAGGATCTGAGCAAATGTGCCCTCATTACAATGTATGGGAACCATTAATTCAAAGCAAGTATACATGCTCTGAAGTGTACATTCAATACATTTTGTTAACGCATCTGTCAATCCAAAAACCAGCTCACACAATATTAGAGGAAAAACACTAAAAAAAGCTGAATGCTGAATATAAGGTGACTTTGGAAGTACAGGCCTAATATGTCTCAGATATTAGAAGCAAATAATAGTATAAATAAGAACATAAATAAAATTGCTAAGGAGTAATATGGTCTATAAAAGATATTAAAGTACTATATGTAAAATATTAAAATCATATAGCGTAATATAATTCCTAGAGGCCTACTATCTGGTCACCCTAAATAACCTGAACTCTTGCAAGCATTGTGATATACAATATTGTGTTGTATTGTAATACACTCTGTTTTCATTCACAGTGTACAGGATTATCTTGTGTAACACATCTCATAGGATGTGGATGTAGAGATGAATCATTTGCTCCCTAATACCTGTACAGTTTTGGATTAATGATACTTCCAGATGTTACTCTCCCCTCCCCAAATATGAAATGTACGTCTTTTCACTTACCTGTTATCCTATAAGACAAGCAGCTCAGCAGCAGCACAAGTAAAATCACATCCATTTTCCACCTCATAGTCACTCCATGCTTCTGTCCAACAAGCTAGATAAGTGAAGCTAGCACTAGGAAGGAAATGAGCCTTCACGAAGGGAAAAAAGTCAGTGACGAGAACTTCCTTCTATTCAATTGTTTTGGGGACTCTGCTAAAGATGGCAGTCTTCAGCATTGATTTAATATCTGTACGTATGTTTGTGTCTGGACCTTCCACAGAGGTCTCACAGCAGAGCAGCCCAGACTGCAAGACAAGCACATTACCATGACCCACCAACCTTGTCCTTCCATACCGCACATATACACAGCAGGTCTGGAAATGCTGGAGTTTAGCTAAAAGCGAAATAGTTAACTGCCATTAGAATTTTTGCTGAGGCACTTTACTGTACAGCTGCATCTGATGCTTTGTGGTAAATGTAAGAGTGCACTTAAAATGTGTTTTCTGGCTAAAAGCAGATGTAAATTTGTATAAAGTAAAACATTCATCCACACAAAAATAAATGTTACTGATATATATATATATATA